CGGGCCTGCGCCCCGGGGCCCCGCCGACGCCCCGGCCTTGCCCGCCGCCGCACGCGCCCACATGCCATCCCGAGCCCGACTGACCTGTCCCCGCCGCGCACCGCGATACCACAGCCGTCCCACAGGCTCCGCAAAATCCGCCCGCTCCTGCCAAAACTTTTCCCATTAATCCTTAGCTCCCCGCCGTCACACGCTCCGGAGCCCGGCCCCGCCCCCGCCAGCGTGACGCCAGCGCGCAACCCGGCCCGCCCTCACCACGCCCCCTTCCGCCCACCGCAGCCAATCACCACTTTTCGGAGACTCCCCTGATTTTTTTCCCCCCGTCCCGCCCCGCGCACGCTGCCCTGGGCCCCGCCTGCAGCGCCCCCTGGCGTGGGATGCGGACGCAGCGGCCGAAGCCAGCGTTGGGGAGGAGCGGACGGGCGCCGGGGGCGTGAAACCAGTCCAGCAAGTCTCAGAGAAGGAAATTCAAAGCTGGAAGAAACTCTGAGGTCGTTTAGTACAACCTCCTTATCCTTCCAGTGAGGAAACTTGAATTGTCGTTAGGACCGTGGAAGAGATTTATTATCCCAACCCGTCCCTGTGTTTAGGAGTAGCCCGCGGGGGACTGGTGATGGCGGGTGGGGGCGTTCTTGTAATTCCAGCGCTCTAGGAGGCTGAGGCAGGAGGACGTCTCAAGTCGGTGCCTGGCCTGGGCGATTTAGCGGTTTAGTGAGACGCTGTCTCAAAATGAAAATTATAAACGGGCTCAGTGAAGATATCAGAGTTCAACCCCCAGTACCGAGTAAATGAAGGTTCCAACTTCTCGTGATGAATGTATTCATTATGTATCCTAATAAAGATGGGGAGCAGCCCAGGAGGCAGTTTGTTGGAAGAAGTTGGCTTTGTCATCCAAAAATCAACAAAATCGTGACTCTCAGGTGTATGAGCTCAGATTTTTCTCCTTTCTGCTTTTCTTGTTTCCTGTTTTTCAAAGGAATTGCGTTGATTTTTTTTTTTTTTTTTAATTTGGATGTTTACTGCTTGCCAAATGAGATTGTAGTAGAAATGAACCATGGACATGAAGACCTTCCTTAAGATTACTGCAAGTTTCCGGAGATTTATATTCTAAATATCTCTGTTTTTGGGCTCCTGCTTCTGCCAGGCAGCTGCGCTGGCACAGTTCTGAAATCTAACGTTGAAGCACCGGGTGTGGTGGAGCCCAGCACTGTAAGGCTTACGCCTGTAAGCCCAGCACTCGGGAGGCTGAGGCAGGAGGGCTGGTGGGAGTCTGAGACCACCCTGGGCTACAAAGTGAGCTCAAGGCCAGCCTAAACTGCATAGCAAGACCTGTCTGGTGGCTGGCAAGATCGCTCAGCAGGCTAAAGCCCAGCTTAGGCAGAGTGCAGCAGCCAAGCTAGATCCCCGGCATGCCGCGCAGGTCCCGCCTCCGGGGCGCGCTGAGATGGCGATTGAGACTGCGCGTGATGTTGCGCGGCTGTAATCCCCGTGCTTGGGAGGCTGAAAAAAAAAAAAAAAAAAGAATCATTACGTCCCATCTACAGGGTCATGAGACCCTGTAGATCCTGCACTAAATACATTTTTAAAAGAACAAGAAGAGAAAAAGCAATTTAAAGATGGAATCCAGCCATTCAGGAAGATGTCCATGCCTCTATCCACACAAACCCTACAAAATACAGGAGACCTTCGGAGACTCTGGCTCCCAGGCAGGGTCACAGGACATGGGACACAGACATTGTGAACTCACCCACTGGGACTTCTTTAAAGTCCTTTGCGCGCGCGCACACACACACACACACACACACACAGGTTTTCTCTGCTGAGCTGATCCTGCACCCCTGGGGCCTGGCCTTCCTGCCTTCCCGTGGGAGCCACTAACTCTTCCCATCCTCTCCCCGCCCTGCCTCTCTGTTCTCTGAAAAAAATCTTACCATCTACCCCTAAGAGGCTCCTCCCACCTAATAAAAACAGCTCCTTTGCCAAAAGAAATTCTAGGAATATTATGAAGGTATTAATGGGGGGTTCTGAGACAGGGTCTCACCATGTAATTCAGGCTTTCCTTGAACCCACTATGTAGCCCAGGCTGGCCTTGAACTCACTAGATAGTCCACGTTAGCCTTGAACTCATGGTGACTAAGGTATTACATTTTTTCATCTCCTTTCATTTTTATATTAAGAATGTATAAAATTTAATATGTTACATGAGTATCTATTGAATGTTCAGACCCTGTAGTGCCATTTTGGATAATCTATTTGGGTGTTTTTTTTTTTTTTGTGGACCTGGGGATTGAACTCAGGCCCTTGCACTTGCCAGGCAAGCGCTTATTCTACAGAGCTATCCCCCCAGCCCTGGATAATCTGTTTTGAAGAAATAACTAAAAACAGTGTTTAATAACCCTAAGTAAAGGCTTTATACACTAAATACTGCAATATTTACTTTACAATCCTGGGAATTGAATTCAGGGCCTTGACACTGAGCTACATCCCCAAGCCCATTTGATTTTGTGCTGTTACTTATTATCTTTTTTTAAAAATTTATTTATTTTGGGCTGGTGAGATGGCTCAGTGGTCTAAAGCACCTACTTAGAACAAGCTAAGCTAAACAAAGCACAGGGACCGCGGTTCAA